TGCTCGGAAGCGAACCTACCTTCTGTTAAGAAACGAGTTGTCCATGTCATCGAATGATCTCGTTATTTGTTGTCGGTACGGCAAAAATGGTTCGACTGGAAAAGCTTTCAGGATTATTGGACTTTTAAATATTTTTAAACATTCATTGATACTTTAGGTTGAACTAATCTGCATGTTATGCAAATTCGGGGTCCAACTGTAAACAGTAAAAAATACAAACAAATCGCTCAATTCAACCAACTAACAGTTAACAATACCAATAAATAAAATGTTCTATTATAACTTGTAATTCGACAATAATAGTTTCAAGGATATAGAAATAATTAGTTTGGCTGAACCGATTTCTCAATTTACCTATTATGTAGTGTTTACTAACAGCTTGGGAATTAACTAGCCCATTTTTATGAACAGGCAAAGCGGGATATTAAAATAAAACATGAAACGTTTTGATCCAATAAGCCAATAATTAAAATCCATAGTTTTGCCCTGATCGAGTATATCGTTTTATTTATCTTTTATATTTGTATAACCAAAACTAATTTAGAAGTAAATATTTATATAAAAGTAACATAAATTATTTCATTTTTAACCCTTAATAACTTATAATTTGGTTGTTACTGATCATTGAGGCCAGCCGACCCTGGGTGGGTCCGTCAAACTCGTTTCGGCAGGCGGTCTTCTTCAGTGTGTCTACCAGCAAGTAGACATCATTTGTGTGTAGTATACTGCGTACTTTAAGAGCTATTATATCCCCCGTTCTGTGCTTTAGCACACCGGTGAGCCCTCGTTCATCAAGGAATTTGATTAGTACGCCCGGTTTCAGTGGCTGATTTTCTTCTGCGGTAGATCACAAAATATCCTCCAATGGGCAAGCGTAGCACCATAGTTCGTGAGTAGTTGTGTTTGTTTTTCGAGTCGTGTTGTGTATATCAATCGTCTTAAGATGACCATTCAGTCTGTAGTGTACAGTTAAAGCCGGGAACACACTTACTCGATGCAACGCTATGCGACGCTACCCGACGTACGGTTGTCAAAACTTGTTACGTTTTGGTAGGGTGTGCACACCCATGCGACGTCAAGCGCCCGCCACGTACAGTCCCACAGCATGTATCACAATCGCAACGCCTCTTTTGTTCTTAATGCAGTATTTTGAACAAAACCATGTAATAAATTGTTAGTTAAATTTTATGTGCACAACCACGTAATAAATTGCTATTTAAATTTAATTGTTATAAATTAATTTATCGTTAAGTAAGGTATTGATTGAAATGAAAAAAGTCAGTGCCACGAGCGGGATTCGAACCCACGACCTTTGGCTAATTACGCCGCTGCTCTACCACTTGAGCTAGCCTGATTTTTTAGACCAAAACTTAAAGAAATCTAATCGATTTACTTGTTTTACTAAAAGTTATTCTGGTTTTGGATAAATTTGCTGCCTAACCATCATAATTAAATAATTTTTATAAAACTCATGAATTTTTGATCTCGTTTAATTTGGTTTATATTAAAACAAGAACCTGTTTGTTCATAATGCATTATTTTGAGCAAAACATTGTAACAATGTATATGAGCACAGCCAAGTAATACATTGTTAGTTAAATTGAAATGTTTTAAATAAAGTTATTCCGGTGTTTCGATAAATTTTCTTTCTAACCATCATAATTAAAATAATTCTTATAAAAACTCATGAATTTTTGATCTCGTTTAATTTGGTTTACATTAAAATAAGCTTGTTGTATTTAATATAACGCAAAGTTACATATACATAGTTTGAAATAAACTATAAAAAAATATGAGTGTCCTGTTCTGGCGCTACTTGACGAAATTGGTGTAATTTTATGAGTAAAACCATAAAATAAATTGCTAGTTAAATTCATTCCATAAATAAATGGTAATCCGGTGCTTTGATCAATTTCCTGCCAAATCATTAAAATTAATTTTTTTAAATAAAAACTAATGAATTTTTGATCTCGCCTAATTTGATTTATATTAAAATAAGTATGTTGTAATTAATATAACGACAATAATACATGTGGTTTGAAATAAAAATATGTGTGTCCGGTTCTTTTGTGTTCGACTGTACTCGATGCTACCTGACAAAAATGTGGACAGTGGGGACCGCTAGCGTTGCATGGCATCGGGCAGATGTGCACGGTGGTAATACAATCCTATGGTAAATTGGACTTTGGATTTGCATCGGGTAGCGTCGCATACCGTTGCATGGGGAAGTGTATTCCAAGCTTAAAGTAGCGTTTTTCATTATGAATAGCAATGAGGTATAATAAATTATGAACGTCAATTGGAACTTGTTTTAAGGTTGTTGGATATTTGATAATCACAGGAGAAATCCCGCATCAGAATGGAAAAAAATCAGTGAATATTTCCTGTAAACAAATGCATCTGTCAATGAGTTCCCTCACTGGAAATGTAAATTTTGTAGTGTTCGACTTTCTCTCCTAGAATTCGCTCTGGAAGAAATGTAATTGAATACATGGCACCTAATACATAGTAAATTGGACTTTGGATTTGCGTCGGGTATGATGGGGTAGTGTCTCATAGCGATTCATCCGCTAAGATTGTTCTCCGTTTTACGGTTGTCCTAAACCGCTGTGAATCGTAGAGTGCTGCACTCCCAAGAGTTGGGCTATGTACCGGAAGCTACGTCCCTTGTTGGCCAAAGGATTTTCCTGGCTTGATCTTCTCGACTTAAAACCTTGCTTTTAGGAAAAAATAACTTTTTACTCAAATTTATTGTTTTGTCAAAGGAAACAATTAAAAAAAAAAAAAATAATTCACTAGACAAGTTGGCAATGTACAGGATGAAATTAAACTGATTTTCTTCTGATCATACGAGCGTGAAAAGATTAGTAACACTTTATAAAGGAAAACAAAAATTTATAACGACTGTGTAAATTTTTTAAGCCAATAAAAAATCAAAGCAAAAGATGAAACCACAAGAGTGAATAAAGAATTAAATATTTATCAAATAAACATTCCTGGGGGGGGGGGGGGGGTTAAATTGTACCAATTGTACGTCAAGGTCAAGTAAATTTCATAATTTAGGCACGATTTGGTCAGAAATTAACAAATAATTTGGGCAATGGTCAATTTAAACAACACCAAAAAGCAAAACTCCATCCAGAAACTGTAAACACGATAAATTCAATAAGACCCCCGAAGTTATAACGAGATTCTAAGAAAGAACTTTATTTGTAAGACAAACGGGTCGCTGAAACGGAAACGTTTCTACTTGTGTTTTTCCTTTATAGAAAACTAGTCGATACATATAAAAAAATTCATTTTATTGTGAATTTATTACAACGAAAAAACAAATTAGAAATATCTTCAAGTTTTGAGTGCTATGACTATTATGAATTGTATGGTATTTTTGTCGTATCGCTTAAAAATCTATGTTCTTTGGTAAAATCCTTCTTTTTTTCTTACTATCAAAGTCCATTTTTTAATTTTTTATTGCTGTTACAATGTTATCTGGTCTATTTACATTTTCATTTAAATTTTTAAGTACGTATTAAAAAAACTTTTATATCCAAATAAAATATGGAAATGTGTGTTTTTTATTAGTAGGGGTCGCTGTGTAATTTTAATGTTGGATAAAAGAAAAGAGAAGCTTCTACATTTTATTATTATAATTATTTTCAATCTACTAATGTTGGAGCATGAAAAATTAAACTTCTCAGGACAGGTTGGTCGTGTTTGAATTTACCTCCGGGCAAAAAAGAACAAGCCTTGTACTTTTAATTGAGGTAAAGTTAAACGGTGCGAAGTTCTTTTCGGTAAGCCAACACTTCACAGTCGAAAGGCTAATTGATGTCTGTAATCAGTTCCATACCCGAGGGATAAGAATCTGATTAGATTTGAAGCAACAGAAGCGGAACGGAATTATTTACAAGGAGTCGGCGAGGCTCTCGCTAAACAGATCTGGTTCGGGACGTGTGTTTGAAATGGCAAAGTCAACATCTCGTCGTCACCGGGATGATTTTTACAAGGTACCCCCGAGAAAACCCCCGGCGATGCTAAAACTCCCTTTAATTAGGTCACGCCCCCTCAAAGACACAATGGGGCATGTGCCTTAACAGTTTATTATTTGAGCCAATATTTCAACCTCCGTGAACTTTATGAGAACACTAAATAATATAAGGTAAACAAAAGAGCGTTTTCCTCCATATCAGATTGTACCAGGGGGCCTTACAAAAGTATACAAAAGTAACTTTATAAAAGTATCAAATTTAAACAATAATCTCTCACCTCGAGCTCTATTAATTCAAGTATAACACAACTACAATACTTTATTCTTCAATCTTTAAAAATATTAAAAGTTATTGGACATGCACAATTTAAAAAAAATTAGGAAAATTTTTAATGAACTAGTAATTTTTATTATTGAATTAAATTAGATTAAAATTTGTTCTTGACTTTCCATCATCGCTAATTTTCAACATTCATTCAAAGTAAAATATCACCTTCCACGTGTTGATTTTGTTTCACTTCATCCTCATGAAATTTATATTTTCAATTTTACCCAAAAACACCCGAGTTAATTATTATCTATTCTAATACAGTTAATCATAAAATTTTAACTGACACTGTTAACAATAAAAAAATTATATTGTATTTTCATTTAATTTTGAATAATTATTACAGTTTTATTTATTTTCAGAATGAAAATAAATATTAATTGGTAAATAAAATATAAACTTTGTTTTTAATTAATTGTTAATTTTATTGTTTAGAAACTTCTAAATTTCTGAATAATACAGAATTTCATAAAACAAAAAAATAAATAATAATTTAGAAATAAATACAAGGTTTCTATTTATCTCAGTTTTACTAAACTGAACTCAAGGACAGAATGTATCGGGCCACATTCTGTACCCTCTCGTTTAAAAGAACTTGGAATTTTTCTAAATATTTTGAATAATTTCCGTCCTAGGGAAATGTCTAATGTCAATTCTAGTTCGAATTAAGATAATCGGAGATACCTGACGCTTTTTTGTGAGGCTCCAGCCTTGTTGGATGGTGGAAGGTGGAAGGGCGGTGATCGAACACTGGTGTGAAAGGAGTGGACGTGGGGTTCTGGGAGCAACCCCGAGCGATTGTTGCCGAATCGTCACGAATCCGGCCGAGGGGGTGAAACCCTTTCCAGGAGTTAATAATTGTACAAAGCCGGATTGCGTGGAAAGTTTCGGGGGGGAAAAAGCGAACCTTTACGACGCCATTCGTGCGATAGGGTCGACCGAGGAGGAATAAGAGAAACGGCCTAGCATGTCCTCGTTGTTTACCCCTTTCGGCCCACAGTCGACGGAGGCTGGAATTGCCTGGAATATGATGTGTACATAGTAGCCTCAGACTTAACGCAGGCAGAACTTTCTCATTTAAGCCTTTGAACCGCCCCACTCGAACCTGAAACAATTACTTAACTCGAAAATGACAGATGGCTTAATATTTCTATTAATCCTTTTTAACTAAAACTTAAAATTTTATTTTATTATTTAAAAAAAAATTGTAATTATAAAATAGTAAATATACAAATTATAATATTCATATCATAAAATATCAATTTAAAAATCTCACCCTTTCGTATTTCTTAAATATTTCTCTCATACTTTTTTTTCACCACATCACCATTTTCCCCTTCTATCATTCATAATTCGTTTATTTTATTCATTCTAGTAATCCTTTTTTAATCATTTGTCCCGAAAGAGAATGAACGCAGATCAAACGTTTATTATTTTTATAAAATTTTATTTCACAAACAACTTGACTAAAACGCAATCTTGAGAAAAGATACACCATCATCCGAATTGATTAGATTTACAAGCATAAATATTTATAAGATTATAACAATAAATCAATTTTTTTCTTTTTAAATATTTAAATTGGAGCTTTTTGTCCGGACTTATATTCATCCTAACCTTAATTTCATTGCCCTGACATCTCTTCAATTCATCATTCTCATAATCCACTTTTGTTTTTCCCACTTTGATTTTTCATTTATCGCTTTCATATGAAAAGGTAATTATAATTAATAGTTTAATAAGAGAACTGCTTTGCTTCCGATAAAAATCAGACCAAAGGACCGATTAACTGGTGTGCTCAAGAGCCAATTTCATTTGGTTGAAATTCCTGCACGCTCTCTGTATGGAGCCCAAGTGGGACACATCAAGCAACTCCATGCCTGACACATACGCGGGCTTAGGCCCAATAATTTTTTTTTCTTTATTTGACGTATAATTCTGCTTTTCTCTATTTACTAGAATGTAGACCATCTTATTATAGGCACTCATTTACTTCTCATTGTTTCATTTTGGCCTTTATTAATTCTTTCCTCAATAATTTTTTTCAGTGATTACTATGTTTATTCTTCATACTTTCTATGTTTACAATAATTTTACGTTAAATACCCGTAGGCTTCGAGAATCACCTGGTACTGGCTGTCCGGGAGCAATCCTGCCGGAAGTTTGGCTCCAGGTGCTATCACCAGCTAGGTCATTTCAGCTCCAAACGCTATCAGTTTCTAGATCTAAACCCACCCACTCTCTTCGTTTTTGTATTTACATACCATTTACTCAGTAGTAAGTATACCTCCATCACCATATACGCATATTATATAACTAATCTAATTGATAGTCAATGAGGTACTCATTATTCTGCCTCACTCTTACATTCTCGCTAATAAATAAGTCAGTCATGACGCTCTTTATATGGCCTAGATTTTTTTTTAAATTTCCTCACGGGCATTCAGTGCATATCATTTTGTTGGTGAGATCCCTCGTTACCCCAAGGATCCGCGCCGACCGACCCGGGCCACCCCCAAAGAGTGAGCGATACACCCGCGTCTCATTCGGGTATACACCTAATTTCGGTAATATTAGGAGGATGTAGATAAAAACCATGGCAATAGATGCCCCTGGAAAAGTCCACAACCTCCCCGCATCCCGGGGACCATATGCCTTTTGCATGTGGAGCACCCCCGGAGACCACCCATGCCAGACAACACAGCACCCCCAGAACGACCCAGGCTGTTCTTAACGGTTAATATTTGGTATTTTCATTTAATTCGAACAATATTCCAAACATCATTTCATTTTCCGAACCTATAACAATATTAAAATTGAAGAGGTTCTCTACCTCGTTGCAACTGCAGATTCAATTATGAAATTTCTCGTAACTTCATACTTCGGAAAATCAAACATATGTTTCATCGTCTCGGGTCATCACACGTTTCACAATTTGAGGATGGTCTTAAACGGATTCTATTCAGGTAAGCACCACATATGCAGTGATTCGACATAATTAAAATAACCGAAAAAATAGCGTTGCTTTCCCTTATTGCAAAAATCCAGGGAGTGTGATGGACTTCGAGAAACAAAGACTTAAAAAAGAACCTGCCTTATCTCTATTGTATCATTTTTTCCACTCTGTGCCAGTTTTTTAGTTAGTACACTCTTTATATCAGATTTGCGTATTTTGACATTTTGACTTCCCTACCTGATGCCACCTCTTTTGCCAACGTATCAACAACCCCGTTATGCACCGCTCCACAGTGACCGCTACACCTACCAAATGTTACCTTTTTTTCATCTAGGTCTATGTATTTATAACTATTTCTGACACCAGGTAATCAGCTGAGGAATTGCACCCTTCAATGGAACACATCGAGCAAACCTTCACTACAAGCCGGACACTTGATTCAAAAGTTTCCTTGTGTAAACCTTCTTAATCGGGTGGGGATGAGCTTTATTCTACCAATCAGATCCTACGAGAGCCATCTATAGACGTGCTCTTGATACGTGGGAGCTTTTCTGCCTATCCGGCCCATCGACGCTGTCACATTCTTGTAATCATGTTTTCAATGCTGTTTTAGTGTTAGACAGCCAGAGAGCCGTGATTAAGACCAGAGTTTGGGATGTCCTTAGCAGCCTCGTCTGACTTTTCCCTTCCAGACCTATGTGTCAAATGTTTTTATTAAGGGTACGCAGACAACAACCATCGATTTAGTGTTGAGGATGGGTATTGGTCTTAGTGGCGTGGGGTCATTTATTGTATTCGCTTCACTCACGTGTTATTTGAACTGCTCAAACGTGTTTTGGCATTGCGCTGTCTTCAGTGAGGAAATTTAAATAAGTAAGAGTATCAACAGCAATGATCCTGATCGGTAAATTACCCATTCCTAACATACCGACAATATAAGGAAAAAATTAATTAATCTTTTTATTTAAGGTTTTGGTTGAAATGAAAAAGTTAGTGTCACGAGGGATTCGAACCCACGACCTTCGGCTCAACACGCCACTGCTCTAACCACTCGAGCTATCTTGACTTCAATCTACATGGTCACCAACTCCCCATCTCAACCTAAAATCTTTCGAATTTTCCCTCCTTTTTGCGTTTTTCAAATGTGTAATCAGGATTCAATTCTCGGCGACATATGAAGTGGCCACGGGGAGCTGTTGGTGAAGTTATACTTCCTTTTACTTATTAAATCCATTAAATTTAGTGATCTATGACCAAATTACTTCTTTCAATTAATTAACCCTTTTATGTAAGGTTTTGGTTGAAATGAAAAAGTCACGATAGCTTTGAAACACGACAATTGAAAAACGTCATAAAGGAGGGAAAATTCGAAAGGTGGTAGGTTGAGATGGGGAGTTAGTGTCCGAGTGGATCGAAGTGGTTAGGCGGCGTATTGAGCCGAAGGTCGAGGGTTCGAATCCCGCTCGTGACACTAACTTTTTCATTTCAACCAAGACCTTACATAAATAATAATTAATTGAAAGAAGTCATCTGGTCAATTGGATCACGCAATATAATGGATTTACATATTTAAGTATACCTTCACTAACAGCTCTCGTGGCCACTTCATATGACGCCGAGAATCGAATCCTGATTACACGACTTTTGAAAATTGGCATAAAGTAGGGAAAATTCGAGGATCGAAGTCACGATAGCTCAAGTGGTTAGAGCAGCGGGGTATTTAGCCGAAGGTCGTGGGTTCAAATCCCGCTCCTGACCCTAGAAACTAACTTTTTCATTTCAACCAAAATCTTACATAAAAAGATGAATTAATTTTTACCTTATATTGTCGGTACCATTATTTTCACTGGATATTCCATTGTTGTTTTTTTATGAAGGCCAAATGATCAATAGTAAATAAAGTATTTCATTTGAATGAGTATGTCTCATAGTCAACCGTATCGATGTTCAAGCATACTCAAATGTTTATAAATAATTTGCACGCACCGGGTTACCCCTCGAGGACGTTAACCATATTAACAAATTAGTTTTCTGAGCGGTCCCTCCCAGGTGGGATGTTTATCTTCGATGCTTAATTTTCCGCTTCATTTCCAATTTACATGTTTTACAATTCGAATTTATTTATTTTATTAGGGCACGCACTGGCGCTCTTGGGTTTGTAAGATTTGGTAATTCCTCATAGACGGCCGGATCGATAGGAGAGTGGAGGTCAGAGAACGATTAACTGATTAGATCTCGAACAGGTTCTCAATGTTTAATCGAATTTAAGTAACATTTTTTTCTCAATTTCTAGTTTTATGTGTTTTCATCCCTTTGTATTACAAATACTTCCGACTTCATTCATTCACGACCTAGTACAAATCGCAGTTGACAGCTAGATTAATCACTGTTAGCTTTGTAGCAACAAGTCTCAAACGGTTTATAATAGACTAGTTTAAATTTCTTAGTTTGTCTTTTTCGTCCGTATTTTTCGTTTATTTAGCCGGATGGAAATGTCGGCTGAGCACGGCATACGCATTTATGCAAAACAAATTCAAATCAAACCTCAGAGAGGAGGAAAGTAAAGGTTGTCTTTTGCTGGGCCGAAATGACTTCCGTAAATAATCCCAGATAGGAGGGAATTTCTCTTTTGATCATTAATTAAACTGAAAAATAAACACCGGCGATGCGGTGGACCAGGTTAGTTTTTAGATTTGTCTAATATTTATCACAATTCACGCTATTTGTTGTTTGGAATTATATTTTAAAGAAAGTCTGTGACCTAATATTTTAACTTTGTTATACCACAACT